ACCAGTTTGTACTTCCAAGCACAATTAAAATGTTATACATATACAATAAGTCACAATTGAGCCTGCTTGTTTGTTAGTGTGTCTAAATGCTTGTGTCAACTTGTGAACTTGACCCGTATCTCATATGACATGCTGTCACCGAGAAGCCTGCCGTGTGCCTAAAACTGCAGATGCCACAGTCCACCTGCCAGCAGGGTCAAACTACCCACACCCCTCTCTGCCAAATGGCAAGAGACATGGATACTGTCTGTTTTGGCTTGCAGCTCATCTTGCTGCAGTTTGCTTTGTCTGGCACCTGGCAGCAGTTAGCTAAGAGCCCAACAAAATGTAAGGCACCAGGCTATGGACCACTAAGACGGGGTAATTTGGCCCTGCTTTAACAGAGTCTCATCTGGCCTGGTGTAGCCTGTCCACCACCTGCTGTTTACTCTATCCAGATCTGGCCTGATGGTTCAAAGACCTGAGAAAGCTGTGGCCCTGATAGGCCACCAGCCTGTCAAATAACTCTGATATAGTTGGGTGTAGAACCAAGAATTAAATATTGTAAAATAAGGCCTGAAGTAGGTAAAGAATAGAAACAGCAGCTAGGTCTCTGTGTCATGCAAGTTTCAAGACAGGCTGACAGGGCAGTAATGAAATACAGTAGCCTGGTGCTCCATGCTACAGAAATAGCAACATTTTTCTGTCACCAAATAAAAGTGATTTACAGATTTTATTTTTGGTAGAGGGGAAGAACTTGTGTTCTCACACAGAGGACATGTCCTTTGGTATGAAAACAAGATTTAAATGAACTGTTTAAACGTCAGTAACTTGATGTTGAGAGATGTTATCATCTCTGAGTCACCTTCAGTAGCTTACTTACGCACCAACAAGGAAAAATGAGGTACAGAGAGGCAATTACAACTCTTTGTTCCCCCATGACTACTTGCAGTTTAAAGCCCGTACTCGGCCTCTGTGTCCTGTCCTGCTGTGGATTCTGTAGCTCCCTGCAGGCAGGAGGCCAGGGGTATCCAGGGTGTGGTGAGATAAGCTTTCACCTACGCACTATTTGTCAGGAAGAATGTAGCATCCCGCAAAGGTCTGTGGCAGCAGTAAAGCAGGTGGAGAATGGTAGCAATGGAGAGGGAGATTAGGAGCAGTGGAGAAGGGGTGGTTATGACAGCCCCACTGGCTTTGTCTCCACGATACAGTGGCAAGTAAGAAGGCAAACAAAGCCTGTAGGCTACTGAACCACATGGGAGGCCCTTTAGAGCTGCACCTCCTCCATGTCTAATTTCCTCAGCCCCATGAGGGCCCACATTGAATGTTGATGGTATCTGTATTAGTCTCTGTATTCCCATAACTCCCCCTCTCCCAGCCTGAGCTACCTCTTTTACAGGAAGCTAAGTGCCAGGCCCCTGTTGCTTTGCCTGTGGCTCTGGATGGGTCCCTTGTTGAGTCCCATCCATACGTCACCAGCAGCAGCAAAGACAGAAAGCACTTCCTCACCAATTACAGCAATGCCACAAAGCAATAGACTCCTCTCATTGTCTGTCTGCAGCCTGCCTCTCTAGTCTGTCTGTATCCTGGAGCTAAAGAGAGAGAAAAATAGCTTGTTGGAACTTGACAGGGAAGAAAACATAGGGCCGCCGAAATCTCAAACAGCCGGAATGTAACATATGAATAAATGATACAGCAAATAAGAGTACAATGGAGAGATATGAAGAATCACAGCAAATTGTGCAATGAGAAGTCATTCATGTCTGTGGGATTTGTACACATCTAAAGAAGACAATGGAAGTCAGCATAATGATGAGTGATCTTCATAACATCAGAGTTCTGTGAAGTTCATGAAGATTTTTTATTTGTCAAATGGAGTCAAGGAGCAACACTATGACCTAAGCAGAGGGAAATGCAGTCCTGGTATCATCATCCTCGTCATCATACTTAATATTGCTTCTGAGGGAGTCCATCTGATCTCTGGCCTGCTGAGCAACTTTTTCCACTCTGGCTAGAAGTGGTGACTGAAGGCTGAGGTGGGCTTCAGGGTTTAGTTGTGGCAGCATGGGGCAGTTGTGTTATGTGGGAAGACAGGACCTCACCTGCCTGCTGTGGTTTTAGCCTGTTCCGGGGCTGCTGCTGGGACAGGAACAGCAGGGTCCAACCTCAGGTATGTTTGCAAGTGAGATGAGACCTCAGACAGTTATTTGTTTTCTTTTTCCCATCTACCTACACACAAGCCCTTTCTTTCCCCCTGTTTTGCTTTTCATTTCCTGTTTAAAGCTCTCAGTTCTCTATTTTTAGAGTTACTTGCTGGTAGTACAGCCCCTGTTTTGCCTTATACATAAAATGTGATGCTTTGTTTCATTACTTTTTGGTTGTCATGGTGAGACATGCTGTATCCACATTGTTTTTCTCCAGCTGCTTCCCATCACCAATGTGTTGTCACCTGGGTGACAAAATGCACACAGCATAATGACTCTCCCAGGTGAACTGTGGCAAGGCTTACAGTGGCTGACTTGCTTACAGTTTGAGTATCAGTCCAGAAATATCAAAGCCAGAACATTACTTGGGCTTTTTGTTTCTTCTGCATGCTTCATTATAAATGGAATAGGTAGACAATGTGGAAAATATGTTTATTTGCTTTCTTGTTGAGTTTTAGATGAGAAGTGTGAGACCACTCTCATGTCTGTGGTTAATATTAAGCTTCAACTAGCATGCAGTTAGCTTAGTTTAGCTTAAATACTCAGAAACAGGGAGAAACAGCAAATCTGCCTCGAACTGTGAGCACCATGAGTTTTCCAGAGACCCAGAGAGAAATTATCGATCTACCCTAATGTAACCCACCTATGCCCATTGTATGGGCCCTGAGTCCAAATAAGTAAAAGTAACTGTAACAGACAGACAAATCTTAAGCTGGTAAAAAACCTCTCTACATTATGTGCCCTTAGGTATCATGGGTGCTGTATACAGTAACCAAACACTTTAACTTTAGAGTTAAAGTTTCTTAATTTACTCAACAAAAAAGTCAGGGTAAACCATAAACAATAGCAATCCACCTTTAAATATCTTTAACCTTTTTTTCTATAAGACACACATTTCAATATTTCAAAATAAACACACAAATGTAGTGGGCCCACACACCACACACTCTCACTCTCCATCAGCCAACATATACACTGAAATTTAACCCCCGCTACAGACCTGATGGACACTTGGGTGTGGTGAGGAATGATGTAGAAGCACTGTTAGGTGGATTTTATTACTGCTAAACAGAGCCTGGCCAGCTGCTTCCCCTCTTTCCAGTCTTTATGCTAAGCTAAAGTATGCTACCACACTGTGGTACTGCTTTATATTTAAGATACAAACATGAGAGTCGATTTTCTCAACTAGATTGTTGCAAGAAGTCAAATAAACATTTCCCCCAACATTCAGCTATTTTTTAGCTAAATAATTTTGTGATTCTACTGTGATTTGTTGTATAATATTTCCTTTCATGCCCAGTTTTTGATCATGCTGCAGTGTAGTGATAAAATTAGATGTAACATTATGTGTGATTTTTGTTTGTCATATAATGGTGTTGTGTCACATAAGCATTATACAAACAAGTGCAGCCTACATCCCAGTCTGCTCTGCTGTAATCTAGGTTGTATAAAATGAATGCCTCCTACTGCAGTCCTTTAAAGGAGCCTCCCACTTCTTAGTGATTTTTTTCCTGTCCCCCTCTTGTTGTTCCCCATTCTACTTTGCTCGTCTCCACTAGCAGGGGCCAAATACACTCTGTGACTCAAAACAAAGCCTAAAATCAAGTGCCAGTTCTTGCATGCTTGTTAGCTGCACCTCACACATCTGATCTAGCTCCAGTAATGTTAGTTCATGATTGTCAAGGTTTTTATTGTTAAATGGAAATTAAAAGCACCAACAGATTAGGGAATTAGGGAAAAGGGACTAGATTAGCTGAGTATAATAAGGAAGGCAGGAGCTGTTTCCTCAATAGCTGCTCATCCTGTCGGAGCCTGAAGCTGATTACTGAAGTGGCTATCGTTGTTGCATAACAGCTGTCATCATATTCATCTTCTGTGTTTGTTCTGGACTTCTCATCACATGGAGCAACTGAGTTGTCCCCAGTGGGGATTAGTCTCTGGAAAACAAATGTCTTCTTCTTCCATTTGCATCATGATGGCGACATGGTGTTAATGCCGTTAATGTCTGGTCTAATATTACTGTGAAGGATAAGATGTGATTTCACATATCAGTGTGGTCAGAGGAAAAACCTGTAACTCAATTCTCATAGTTAAACTGAGGATTTTAGGATTTGCTGCTCACTTCTCTTGGTTTTGTAAAGTTCTTTCAGAATCTGTCGGTTGACTCAAAAATCGATCTCAAAATAAGGCCGCCCCTCAATTTCTTTCCTTCTACTTTTCCCTTTTTTCTTCCATTTTTGTCTCTACTCTCAAAAAGATATTTCAATCTCAAGAGAGCATGCTCAATAATAAAACAATATATGTCACCAAGAGTGTTCAGAATTTGCCCTGCATATTTTAACAAGGAAAGCAGACCTTTCCTCTCACTGGCAGTTTCTGCACTTGTTAAAAGTTCTTCTTAATTACTGTCATGCTTTAGTGAAAACCCTTAACTATTTTCTATTCTTTGACATTGAAATGTTTGAGAGCCCCTGGCCCACAAGCTTACTACTGTAAAACAACTCGAGCTGTTAAGGAAAACAACCTATTCTTCAAAAACTGTATTCAGCATTTTCTTTTTTAAACTAAAAATCTGTTGATATAATGCCGTCAACCCAATTTAAAGGAGTGAGTTTATATTCTGTTTTTCTTTTGTCTATTGCAACTGGTTAGAGATGAAACGCTTGAATTAAGGGACGCTTTATTGAAAACAAGCGAATATGTCAGATTTGTTTTCCCAGACTGAAGGAAGATTTGCTGAAGCTGTAGGATACCGCATACAATCTGTGGATATCAGTTTGAGAGCCGGCAATCGAAATATCCTATTGTAGATTAAGTGCGCTCGGGCAGTGTGACCAAGACGTGCGTGCGTCGGTGTTGGAGAACGCATCAGTCACACAGCACGGTGTAGGTGGACGGCAGCAAACGGATATAAAAAAGCTATATCGGGATGGTCCCAGCTGTCAGCGCTAGAAACCTGAACAGGTGGCTCCTTCAGCGTCTTAGTGCCTCAAGGCACAGACCCTCCCAACAGCTTGTCTTGCTCGATAATCTCCCCTCTGACGACAGCGTATTTATCCTAGTGCGCGTAAAACCACGAGTGCAGCAGGTTTTGGTCGGTGGATCTGGTCATTCATCGGGATTTCACTCATTAGTCTTCATCACGAAGTTGGACTTGTGGGAAATGTTTCTTGGTTTTGAGCCTGGACTGGCAAACCTGGATACAATGACTCATTTTTGTATTTTATAATCTCTCCTCTGCGTTTGGATTGTAAAGACTGACATAAACGACAGCATGTTGCCAGAAATAAATAGCAAGGTGAGGCATTTTTTGGTTAGATGGTTGGCTGATTGGTTGGCTGGTTAACTGAAGTGTGATATCTGGTTTTTAATTACTGGAAAAGTATAACTCAAATTTGTTTTTTATAATGGCTGGGTGGGTATGTTTTTTATAATGGCTGGATAGGTATATGGTTATCTAATTCACTATAGAGTTTTTATATTGTTCTAGCCACACTGTACAATAATGTACCTGTAAAGTGTTAGGACTTAAAGATTTCCATGTTTACTTAAACATTTCCTTGGAATAAAGGATACTTTTGCCTGTGTATATGGCTTCACTCCAGGCCGGTTCCATTTTGGAAGAAGCCCTCGATATGTATTATTTTACAACAGAATATAAAGTCATTCACACTTTGGAAACATTTCCATTTCTCCTCCTCAATTATCCTACTTGAATACTTATTTTGTAGTTTGCCTCCGTTCTCATGACTGCATGCCAAGTTATGATGAAAAATCTGATCCATTTCTATTTCAGTCGATGTTTAGCCTACTTATTTCAGTGTTTGTTGTGCTGACTGGTTCTGTAAGTCTATATGTGTTCTGGTGTATTTTTCACACCGTACATGGAAACTGATATAAATTTAACTCTTGCTGCTTCTGGGTCTTTGTAGAATTTAACCTTTTTACTGTTGTTAGAAGTGAGAAACCTAGAGATGTTAGCTTTGATAACCCCTATCAGTTAGCACTTACTTTGATCATATGGACTTGATCAGTGATTATGGCAGTTTTACCTGCATTATTCCTTGTGGTCACATTTGACGCCAACAGGAAACAGCTTGCTGTGTGCTATGAAAATGACAGGGGAACATGATTAAACCCTGGGAAGTGACTGTGCATGTCAGACAGATGATAGTTTGAGTGAGCACAGTTTTTACAGTTTGTTGATGTTTACTGCTTTGACCCTCTGACCAACTGACCCTGGAAGATGTTCATGAGCCAGTGCTGCTGGGATAATCCTGTAGGCTACCTCTAGTAAAGACCCCCATTCATAACAGTAGTCAACATTGCTGTTGACTTTGTTTCCATTTATTTATTGATATACCTTATTAAACATTTGGGGACATTTAGAGCAAATGTCCTGTTTCTTTTGCACCAAGAGGAAAAGGACTGTATGTCTGCACAGGCCAAACAGTATCAGATTATTAAATATAGACCTAGCCCTATGTTTGAAGTATTGTGCCGTTCACTTTCTTGTACAGACCTAGCTTTTAGACACAAATCAGACAACAGAATAATTTAACACCCACTGTGTTGAATTTTATCTTACTGTTTTCAATGACTGGGATGAAAAAGGATGAAACAAAATGTGTTAATTCACTTACTCCCAACAACTAACACTCATCTTTGTTGCACATGGATTCAGGTGTGGTTATTATTTCTTTATAGAGTTTAGATAGCCATTCATCATTATGAAATAAAAGGTCACAGTCATTATTTTTCTTTGGTACTAAAGTGTATGATTTGATGCCTCTGGGTTTCCACTGGCTCAGTGCTCATTAGCTAGGCTTACAGCAGACCTTTACAGGTGATGCTTTAGAAGCCAATCTGTCTCAGTGACCTACATGGCTCCAGAGAGTGTTCCAGAGAGTGTAACATGACCACATTATTGTATCTTTACCTTGTTCAGCTACAAGTGATTTTATTGTCTTACTGAGGCATTATAGCAACTTAAATGTGAAGAGCAAACCCAGGTAGCATATGCATGGTGTGGTTATTTTCATCCACTGACTAGCAAGTCACAGAGTTGAGCTGGCTGACTCCTTCTCCCTCTGCATCATACTTCACTGACACTGACCTGATGTTACGTTTGCTTGTCAATCTTTACTTGTAAAGCTTGTGATTATGTATTATATCCAGCAGCTATAGACAATACTACTCAACCTATTTCACCCTCCCTCTCTGCCTCAATTCCTCCACTGCCAGGCGGGCAGAGTGAACTTAGTATGATTCCCCATATGGGGCTAAGCTTTATTTCACCCATATGGTGTCACCCAACACAGGTGCATGTTCACTGGCTAATTAATAAGGCACATGTAGGCTGGTTTGATGTTGGAGAAAAGTGCAGAATCATCCCAAATGCTTGTGGCATTTTTTTTCCAGAACATCTGGAAGTGTTTTTATTATTATTTGTTTACAACATTTATATCTTTTTTTAAATATACAAGCAAGTGGATTTCCAGTGTGCATAGTCTGGGATGCACATGTACATCCACTGCCAGACACACGGTTGTGCACATGGGCACACACCTGCACAAAACAACAGGTACAGAGAGAGAATACTGAACAGTGATATGATCACTGTTGCTGGGTTTTTTGCAGAAGTAATCTATTTTAGGATCATAATGCATTATTTTTGCAAGTCTGGCTGCAACCTCACTCAGCTGCCCACAGGCTGTGTATTTCTGACTGGAGAACAGAGCCAGCATGAACACAAGAGGCAGTTTTATTATTATTTTTACACAACCACTTTAATGTATCTCTTTTTGTGTAAAAAAGATTCTTAGATCTATATTTTTAATGCATGTTATCTACAGTCAGTACAGAATGTTTTCATACCCTGTCAAATTTTTTCACATTTTGTTATGTTTCAGACTCACCTTAAAATGTTTTTTTTTCATCCTTCTACACACAATACTCTACCATGATAAAGTGAAAATGGGTTTTGGGAGTGTTTGTACATTTATTAAAAATAAAAGACTGAAATATCCCATTTACATAAGTATTCAGACCCTTCACTTAATATTTGGTTAAAGCACCTTTGGCAGCAATGGCAGCCTCATGTCCTCTTGAGAATGAAGATACTAGAGATGTTCTATTGGGTTCAGGTACAGACTCTAGCTGGGCCACTCCAGGACTTTCACAGAATTTTCCTGAAGCCACTCCTGTGTTTTCTTGGCGGCGTGCTTTGGGACGTTGTCTTGTTGAAATGTAAACCTTTGCCCCAGCCTCAGATCCTAAGCACTCTGGAGAACATTTTCTTTCAGAATTGCTCTATATTTTATTAATAATAATCACCTTTATTTGGCCAAGCATGTTATACACACAAGGAATTTGTTTCCCGTACAGAACCGAGTCAGCCATCTGCGGCACCAACTCACACCGATGGCTCTAACCATCGGGGGCAACTTGGGGGTTCAGTGTCTTGCCCAAGGACACTTTGACATGTGGACTGCAGGCACCGTGATTTGAACCTCCAACCCTCCAGTTCGACATTTCATGTTTTTCAGAACCCTCCAGTTGGGAGACAACCACTCTACCCATTGAACTACGGTCGCCCCAGTATTTTCTTGCCTCCATCCTTCCCTCTGTCCTGACTAGTCTCCCAGTTGTAGAAAAACATCCCAATAGCACAATGCCGCCACCACCGTGTTTGACTGTAGGGATGGTAGGAAAGTGATGCTGAGTGCCTGGTTTTCTCCACACACACCATGGGGAATTGTGACCAAAGAGCTCAATCTTTGTTTCATCAGTCCAGAGGATTATGCTTCTCATGGTCTGATAGTCCTTTAGGTGCCTTTTGACAAACTACCAGCAGGCTGTCATGTGTCTTTTAGTGAAGACTGGCTTCCCTCTGGCCACTTTACCTTAGGGGCCTGATTGGTGGAGTGCTGCACCGGTGGTTGTCCTTGTGTAAGGTTCTCACATCTCCATAAAGGAACTCTGGATCTCATTCATAATGACCCTTGGGTTCTTGGTCTGACCAAGGCCATTTGTCCTTGACTCCTCCATTTGGCTGGGCAACCAGATCTATGAAGACTGTTGGTAGTTCCAGATCTCTTCCATTTGAGAACGATGGAGGCTACCGCACTCTTACGCACTTTCAATGCTGCATAAATGTTCTTGTGTCCTTCCCAGATCTGTGTCTTGACACAATCCAGTCTCGCAGGTCTATGGGCAGTTCTCTTGACCTCATTGCTTTGTTCCCACTCTGAGATACACCATCAACTAAAAGACCTTACTGTATATAGACAGGTTTGTGCCTTTGCTAATTATATCTAATGCATTAAATTAGGCACAGGTGGACTCTAGTCAAGCTGTAGAAGCATCTCAATGACCACTGACAGGAGTGGGATGCACCAGAGCTCAATTGTAAGTGTCATAACAAAGGTTCTGAATACTTATTTAAATGAGTTGTCAGTCTTTTATTTTTAATGAATAAAAAACACTCCAAAAACCTGTTTTCATTTTATCACTGTGGAGGATTGTGTGTAAACTGGTGAGGGAAAAATGAATGGAATCCATTTGAAGATGAGTCTGAAACATAACAAAATGTGGAAAATATGAAGTGGTCTGAATACTTTCCATACTGACTGCTTGTGACTATATTTAAAAAGTGAAAAATATGGCAACCCATTTTTTTTTTGTTTCCAGTATGTTAAAACTGCTCTTTTTATAGGTAAGGCCAGGTCAAGACAGCTTTATTTATATAGCACATGTCATATACAGAGGCAATTCAAAGTGCTCTAAAATAGGCAAAGACAGCGTTACGTATTTTATGAATTGCTTTCATTCCTCCCACAGACATCACGACCAGACGCCTTCCCTCACCCTCACAGACTCCCAGCAGAAGGAAACCGTACTGGAACAAACCGACCCTGCTCACAGGTGAGCACTTCCCCTCTGTTGTGGCCCAGAACTCAGAATATGTATCAGCAATGTCATCTTTTTCCTTTAGGTTTTAAAAATAAGTAAGATGTGCTTATTCTGTCATCAGCTAAAAACACAGCTTGAGACACTGTATTTGTCCTTTTCCTCTTCTTTTTATACACAAGCAGTGAACTACATGAGAATAACTCTTCATATTACAAATTATCAGCTTTCAGACTTTGAGCACTCACTAATGTTCTGAAATGCATCACTGAAAATTATTGTATTGTGTTTAACTTTTGTCTGAATTGCAGATTTCAAGGTGATAGAGAACCAGAAAATAATGCCTCATTATGAAATGTCAGGGGGGATCTTCACATCTATATTGACATTCATTTACTCCTAAGATCTTACAACAGAATGGATGTGACTGTATACATCTGTCTACACATATGTGGCTATTTGGTATATGTAATCATCACCAATTTCCAATGATACAAGAGCATCTTAATTAAACAGCATGGCCCCCAATTATGTACAGGCACGTAGCTGTGTTTACTTCTTTCGTCTGTCGTGGCAGGTGCTTGTGACTATATTTAGCCCTATCTCTATGCCTCATATCAAGTTGGCAGATCCTGCTGCAGCTCTTCACATGTGAGATGAAATATCAGAACGATCTACAGTATGGATGTGAACACTTTTTCCTGTGATGCTGTTAATAATTTACATGAAAGAATGTGTTATGTAACTAGCACGTTACATTAATACAGGTTAGACAATAGCATGATGCATGCAGGGACAGCTCTGTTTTAAAATTTTCTACCTGAAATTTGTGTTTTTTGTATACTCGATAACGCCTCTACTGACAAGGAGCTCACCTATCTCACTTTTCCCAGAGAATTTAACATAGGTCAAAAATCTAATTTTGCCCATTATTGCCAGGGCTGAGCTTTGTGAGCTGTGACACATGTAAACTTGCTCCCAGAGCAAGCAGGATGGCAGTCAGATAAAAGCAGGTTGCTACTCTTCACCTCCCCCACAGAGCAAGCACAGAGAGTCTCTGTCACAGGGCTTTGTCCCCATTTCACTCTCACCCCAATCAGTAATTCCAGCCATTACCTGCTGGGGGTCCTGTCATCTGAGCCTCCACAGATAAATGCACGTGAAATAGATGTAGATAACTAGCTGAGAACATACAGTAAACCAAAAATGATGAGGTGTAGCCAGACACAGAGAAGAAGTGGAAGGGGCTGTGACAAGTTTGTAGCAACAGCTTACAAAAAATAAGTCATTTGTACCTAACATTTATTGACCCACTCTTCCTCGTTGCTTTTGTTGTTTTTACAACTAGATGTGCAGCTCAGTATTTGTTTTTCTGTTGTACTGAGATATGGAGTGGGTTACTCCCCTCAGAAAAAGTAGCAGTGTGCAGTTTCTTGTTGATTTGCCTAAATATTCTCCCTAGTTTTCAGTATTAAATGCTATTATTATTATTATTTACATTGCTAGAAATCTGACAGAAAGATCTAGTTTTATCCATGATCTGACCCTAATTTATTTTGTCTTTGTAAAACCTTTTCTTTTTACTTTATGTAGTGATGATTCTAATGTGTGTCTCTTTATTGAATCCAATAAAATAAACAAACCGTTCCCCTGATTTTCAGAAGTTTGGCTCTGGTGTAGGGACTTTGCCTCAGCTTGAGCCATCGGTGGTCCAGATGGTGGTCAGCAATGCCAAAAACCAGCACCAGCAGTCAGGCAATATCCTGCCCCAAATTGCCAACAAGGGGGGCCAAAATAACTTTCAGACACACCTGGTGAGCCTCCCGTGCATGTATAAAGTGATCTGGTGGCTTGTATTTATGTCTCTGACTGGAAGAAAACAATCAGGCCGTCAGCATCTTTCCAAAGTAGCTAAGACAACTCAAAACTGAAAAGCAGCATAGTTTCAAGGACAAGCACTATATAGTCAAGGTTTACTGTGAAAACATCACGAAGGTCACAGTCTAGTTGCATACAGTAGCTGTTAGCTTCTTAGCTCATAAACCAAATGGATTCTACAGTAAGATGTCAGAGAGCTGTGATGTGAGCTTCCATCTTTGTTTCTTCTACAGGATGAGAGGCCAAAGCCCACCCAACAGTTCACCATGCGGTTTGGTGCAGCAGTGGATAAAATAGCAGTCTCTCGCAACAGCAAGGTGTTCTGCAACAAGTTGGAGAAAGAGAAGGCATATGAGGGACAAAGGTTACCCATGTCACCTACAGGTATGCTATTATAGATAAAAAAAAATAAGCTGCAATACAAAAGAATTAGTAAAGCATAAAAATGTCATTTTACATTTTTGATATTTTGGGGGTGTTCTTATACAAACACATAACTAGGTAATAATTTAGATTCCACTGAGGCATTGACTGGTCATTGCTCTGCTTTTAGCAGAGGTATAATCAATATGATAGTGACTCATCACCTCCACCTCCTCCTGCTTCCTGCTGCAGAAGCACTGAAGAACTTTCAAGAGCGGCTGACAGAGTTTGAGCAGGAGGAAATCATGGACTATGCAGAGATCTGGTTCCTGGGTCTGGGCTCTCAGAAAATCGAGGGTTCCCAAGGCGCACCACAAAACTCAGGATATGATGATGAGCATGGAAGCTATATCAGGGTAATGTATTAAAGAGCTGGTATCATGGTGCTTTTTGACTCATTTTTATAAATAATGAGCGTATTTCAAACAAACAGTATCTGTGATGTTTTCAAATTTCTCTAAATCCATCTCTACACACAGCCCAGACTCTTCTCTCCCCTCTTGTAGGCTGTTTCGGAAGGCATTAACATAAAATGTACATTATTTGTGAGCACTGGTTGGCTGAGGTAATGACTCATGTTCACCACCAGCCGAGCAGAAAAGGACTTAATGAATAAGGCATGTAGTACGGTTGATCTTTACCATGTGTAATGGCTGGATCTGGAAATGTAAGACAGTAGATAGAGATATATGAACCAGAATCGGAACCTAAATGTGAAGGAGAGGAACCAGCTGCCGCTGATCAGACATTTCAGCTCGATGTTTCAGAACCAAGTAACAATTTTTCAGCCATAGCCAGAGACAGCTATCTTAGCTTTAACACCTATTTTAAATTAGCTGAGTAACGTGGGTTTATTCTCCTGTGTCTGATTTTATGGTGCATCACAGCTGGCACAGTTTCAACACTGTTCGCTCTCAAGAGATGAGATTTGAAATTTTAAATAATTTAAAAACATTACGGAAATAGAGTTTAGTAATTTGACAGCTGAGGGGGACCTCTGCCGTCACCCTAATCCATCTTAAAGCTCTGCTTTTTCTCTCATACTAGTTAAGCTATTTTATTATTGCTGACCAGTTCAAAGTGTTATCTTGGTCTGTTTAGAGAATTCTTCCTTGTGACAGTACGGAAAGTGCTTTTGAATAACTATTGTCATCTGCCAAAAAGCAAAACAACACAAGCTTTGTGCTTGAAATCCAACCCTGGCACATTAAACAAACATTATGAAAAACATACAGTATATGTTTGCATCTTACTATTATTCTTAGCGTTCGACTCTCAAGTCTCACATTACATTTCCCAGATGTATTTCAATGCACAAACAGAGTTTGCTAAACAGTTTCAGCAGTCAGCTGCACAAAAATCAAATGTGACTAAATATTCAGTTACGCACTGTATCCTTAGCAGATCTGTGTGTCATAAAGTGATCACCAGTAAATTATTTAAAAGTATAATGACAAACTAGAAATATAAAGACATTTAGTTGGTGTTATCAGTTATAATCAGGCTCACACACATACACATGCACAGGCTTTCAAGTTGCCTAAGCCGAACTGCACATTACTCCATATGACCTTAATCCAACAGCTGCAGACATGAACCCACTGTTCTGTTGGAATGACCTCTTTGTTTACTGCTGTATACAATATGCTGCGCTGCAGTCATCAAACCCTGTGACAAGGTTTACCGGTCTTGTTGTAAATCAGGCAGCTGGGTGTTAGACAATATGTAATGAATGAGCTGTTTCAGGTGGAGTGACAGACCATTGTTTGTATCTCTGTTGAGGTCCATCTAACTGTCACAACTTTGGCTGGCAGTTATATTAAGGCCATAGTACACTTAATACCATAGCTGCCCTGTGCAAGGCAGAGCTATGCTGGACAGTATGACAACTGTATAGTGATTGAGTAAAATAATATTAATCATTAACAATAGCTTTTATAGATTTAAATATCTTAATTACATTTTTTTAATTTTAACATGACAATAACATTCAATGACAGATAAATGCTATGTTAGTCTAAGTACAGAGTACAGGAGGGTGAGTTCTGCTTAAACATGCATGTGCATGTGCTCTTCCTCTTGCTCTTCCAGGTGCTGCACGACCATATTGCCTATAGGTTTGAAGTGCTTGAAGTGATTGGGAAAGGCTCTTTTGGGCAGGTTCTGAAATGTCTGGACCACAAGAACAATGAACTTGTAGCAATTAAAATGATACGCAATAAGAAAAGGTAAGCTCTAATATTTGTTTTGGAAATGTTTTATGTATTTTATTTCATTACGACCAGTTCATTTTTCATCAAACATTTTCAAACTGTTAATCTAGTACAGTATATTTAATATATATTCAGATACAACTTGTTAAGTACTATGTTACAGTACTGCATAGAATAAGTTACTTGTCATATTCAAGGAGTCGACATTTGGAAATCATTTGAGATCTGACACCCTGTTATGAGTTTTTTTCTCACATGCCTACGGTGTGATCATTTTACATTTTATTTATCTGCCAAATTGTTGAGCTCCTGATTTAGCATGACAGAAGTTGACACTTCCTGGTGTTAGCTTACTTGTCCTTCCTCACTGGGGATCACCGTGGCAGCGACTGCCCAAGTTCTGTGGGTTTGATGCAGGAGCCTTCAGGTCTTACCTCTGCTTCAATAATGTAGAAAAAAATGTGTACAAACTACCACAGCACTGCCTCAGGAAAAAGCTGTGCTGTCTCAGGTAGCTATCATAAGAGAGAGTTGTGTATGGTTACCATAATGATATATCAGGGGAGATTTTGCTGGGACAAACCACACTATCAGATATGTTTATCATATCAGAGGTTTCCAGACATTAATGATATTACACTCAGAACTTACAGGATTATTCTGGCCTGGCTATACCTAAAAATTCTGAAATAATTAATGATCAACTCACAGGTAATATTGATGAAATTCAGTGTCTAATGCTACATGATTTTGTCTGTAGGTTTCATCACCAAGCTCTAGTTGAGCTGAAAATTCTGGATGTAATAAAGAAGAAAGACAAAGATAACCTCCACAATGTCATCCACATGAAGGAGTACTTTTACTTCCGAAACCACCTTTGCATCTCTTTTGAGCTTCTTGGGTTAGTACATTCACTTGCATTCTGCATGTTCAGAAAATGGTCTTACAGGATACAATAAAGACAGTATTGAATAATCGATCTGTTATGCAAATGTATTCAAGGTTAGCCACCTTTCACCAGGTACAGCAGTTATCTGATCACTGGACTGTCTAATAAAAGGCCTCTCAGTTGCCTTTGGTCATTACTGTCACCTCTATGTGACAATCAAGGGTTAAGTGAGTACCTGTGTACCTTAAGCTATCTGTGTTTTAGCGTGGATTGCCACTGATCTATTACAGTGGAGCTAGTTTTGTGTATCACTCTGGCTGAACGACCTTTAGAGGGCATCTTGGACTGAGACCTTGTCTAACATTACTGTCACTAAATCCTTTAGTTAAGGCCTTGATTAGGGCCCTATCTCTTACACCTTCTTGCTTCATGGTGTGAAGGCTCCTGTTACACAGTCTAACGAAGTGTATGCTTATCACAAGTGGCAAGAAATAGCAATAGGATACATTGCGTGTCTCTGTGTGCCTCTAAATGTGTGCACAATAATAGATTATTTCCAAGTATGCTGTGTTTGACACTCAGTCGATGTGCTCCATCTTTTAATATGAGAGTGCTTACTATGTATAGAATAAAAGAGACAATGTTTTGGAAATGAATCCAATCCACCCTTTTAAAAAAGAAAATAAAAATCCAATAGGGCAATTGTTTGTGGTTTTCTTTATTATGTTTGAACCGTATTATGAACTAACCTTGCATCACATTTTGTATCTTTCACAGGGTGAACTTGTACGAGCTCATCAAAAAAAACAACTTTCAGGGCTTCAGCATTGCTCTAATCCGTCGGTTCACCCATGCTCTTCTCAGGTGCTTGCAGATGCTACACAGGGAGAAGATAATTCACTGTGACCTTAAACCGGTACTGACTTTTATAGCTGAACATCTATTTAAAATAAAACATGATTTAAAACAGTGAAGTCAGTAAAACCTAATGTGGAACACATTTTTGCATTGAATCTCTGTACTGTTTTTGACAACTGTACTGGGGGAGGAATCCCCAGAATAATAGCCTGAATTTTTCCCCCATCTTGTGGTGCATTGTAATGATGCATCAGTGTAAAATAATAGCAACAGCTTTGAACGGTTTTTTGTTTTATTTCTGAACAGGAGAACATCCTTCTGTCACAGAAAGGGCCAGGGAACATCAAAGTGGTGGACTTTGGATCAAGCTGTTATGAACAACAAAGGGGTGAGTGCATATAACTCATCTGAGAGAATATGTAATGATCATTTTACAAGTTGGAATATTAAAAGAAACTGTCAAGTCCTGTGAATTAAAATCTCATACATTATGAACTTATATACCTCATTTTCTCTTTCTTTATCCACCTGCTTGCACACCCTTTAGTGTACACCTACATCCAGAGTCGCTTCTACCGCTCCCCAGAAGTGATCCTGGGTCACCCCTACAGCATGGCCATTGACATGTGGAGTCTGGGCTGCATCCTAGCTGAGCTGTACACAGGCTATCCTCTCTTCCCAGGAGAAAGCGAAGTGGAGCAGATAGCTTGCATAATGGAGGTATGACATGGAAATAATTGTGTCCATATTTACCACGTTTAATTTGCAAGTTTCACAAATGTACATGTAAAATTTCTAACGCCGTTGGTGAGTTGCTTCAGTACCCTGATATTTTAACTTTCAGGTTCTGGGAATGCCTCCAAATGATTTTGTTCAGTCAGCAGCGAGGAGGAGGTTGTTCTTTGGTGAGAAGTTTTCTTCATCTAGATTTGTTTTTGATGTCTTATTTCTGTCTTTCATTCATAATGTCTTATAACATTATGAATGTTATACACCATGCTAGGCTATGCTATGTTATACAGCATGCTACAGTGTATGATTACTAGATGTTATCAAAAGAAGAATGAGTAATAGGTAGAGTATCACTTTTCAGAAGCATCTGCAGTGAGCTAGCTTTATGGAAACAAGAAGACAAACCATACTGTTGTTTGTGTGCAGACTCCAAAGGAAACCCGAGGAACATCACTAACAGCAAGGGGAAGAAGCGGAGACCAAACTCTAAGGAGCTGTCAGCTGCTTTAAAAACAAATGATGCTTTGTTCTTGGACTTCATCAAATGCTGCCTCAAGTATGTTGCCATTATACTTCTGTTAGATTGTTTAAAATCTGATTATTAAGTGACTGCATAAAAACTAAATGTGATTTTTTTCAATTAAGGATCATTTAATGACACTGCAGTAAAGGTCAAAATTACAAGCTGCATTTGCATGTTTAAATTATTTTTCTCTGCTTTTCAGTTGGGATCCAACCAAGCGTATGACTCCTGATGAGGGGTTACAGCATGAGTGGATCCTGGAGGGAAATTTCAACAAAGTTCGGTCAAGAACTAGGTTTACAGTGAAGAAGACCTCAGACTGTTCAGTCAGCACAGACAGACAAACTAACAGCAAGCCTGGTAGGAACAGAGTCAAATTCATCATCTGTACTAAATACAGTGCTTAATAAGAACTCAATTTACTTGCCATTTTGGAGCAAAAGTACAACAATCATGCATACAAGAAAAGACCAGCTTTACATTTATAAAATCTATATACTTCAGGCTGAATTAGTAAATGTCAGCCACTTGCAGTTCCAGTGTTGCTTATTAGGATATTTGTTAGCTGGTGCCATATCTACAGACATACAGTTTTGTATTCACCTTAATTTGACATGTAATGGTCCTTGTTTCCATCGTACAACAGAGGTGGTCAGCTCAGCAAGCAACACTAACGACAAACTGAAGAGAGACAGTTCAGAAACAGGAACGAAAATGGCCCCTGCCGAGCGTCTGCGGCCCATCGGGGCCTCGGCCGAGGAGGAGGTGTGTGAAAGTGAGGCCAAGCTCTCCACGGATGACAAACAGCAAGAAGGAGGTGGAGAAAGAGCTGTTCACATCATCATCAAGCCTCAGGGGGAAGTGGACACAGAGAGAAAGGATAGCCAGGAACTGTCTCACTGTTTGGCCCCTATCATCTAACAGTCTAAGGCAGTGGTCCCCAACCCCCGGGCCGCGGACCGGTACCGGTCTGTGGATCAATTGGTACCGGGCCGTACAAGAAATCATTAATTATTTCTGTTTTGTTTATTATCTGAGTCTGAACGATCTTTTATTTTGAAAAATGACCGTATTCTCTCGGTTACATCTCGGTCACTTGAACGCCAAAACTGCCTTACTTGTGGACATATTCAGCCTGCTCAATGAACTCAATCTGTCACTTCAGGGGAAAATGACAACTGTCTTCAAGTTGGCAGATAAAGTAGCTGCATTTAAAGCCAAACTGGATTTGTGGGGACGGCGCGTCAACAGAGGCATTTTGGACATGTTTCAAACATTAGCGGGGATTTTGGGTGAGACTGAGCCTGAGCCTTCATTCTCCCAGCTGGTGCACGATCACATGTCTTTGCTTTTAAAAGAGTTCGAGCGCTACTCCCCAACCACAAAGGACCCACGAACTAACAAGGAATGGATCCGCAACCCATTTGTCAACAAACCAGGTGAATCCAGCAGGTCTGTGCAAGAAGAAGATCAACTGCTGGAGATCGCAAATGACGAGCTTTTGATTCTCTTAGACATTTTAGTCCAAGTTTACTTTTACTAATGGTAAAATATTTGAAGAATTGTGTGCAATAAAGGCTGAGCCAAAACAGTTTTTTAATTATGTTAACGAATAAATAATTGTCAAGTACTTTTTAATTATAGAATTATAGAATGCAGTTGATGACTTACTGATTACTAGTGATTTTACTTATTTATTATTAAGTTTCATAATCATTTAACTGTTTAATTCAACAATCATAAAATATGTATGTAGAATTTTCTGTATATAATTCTGCTGTTATTTCCTATGTATGTGTAATACAAAACATATTTTAAGAAAATATTTCAGATATTTGAGGGTTTAGACAAGGTTCTACTTGTTGCGTTGTTACTGTATGAAAACATTTTGTATAATGTCTGTGTTATTCATAATATTTTTATATTAGAAACAAAAAGACAATCCTATTATTGATAGTTTGTGCCTTGCAGTATTAGACATCTTGCACTTTTCTATTATGTGTGTAGAAGCTCTTGAATTCTTACCTCTTAAATAGACAAGAGTTGTGATTACCCTTCCAGGATACTTTCACATTTTTGACAAAATGATATCAAACGTTACAGAACATAATAAAAGAATTGTTTCTTTTTTTACGTTCTTTTTACAATTGATTTATGTCTTTAGTCACCAACAGAGATTGAAGATAGACTTTTGCCCTCACCATATATTAGCTAAGCAAACAGTGCACAAAGAAGATGGATTGTAGCTGAAAAGAGTAGGTGAAATAGTGTTTATGTCTTTTATGCTGAAATAAAAAGTTATTTCAAAGAACATGTATTTACAAATTACACAATTTGTGCCCTGATAGTTGTGTTAGTGTCCATAATTCAGCCTGAATTATTGAGGCCTGATGATACATGATAGATTTGTATATCATTTAAGCTTGGTTTTCATATATTGCATTGACATGCTAAAAGGTCATGCAAAAAGGAGATGACTAAGTGTTATATGTTTATGCCGTGAAAAACTTGCTATTTCTGTTAATATAATAATAAATGACCTTCAGATCATCCATATGATGCGCATTGCCAAGCCTCATGCTGCAGTTTAAAAAATTGCATCCACCTGCAGACATATTGTGGACCATTTTGCATGTTTTGAAAAACGCTTTTAAAGTTCATGGCCATAATTTCCCTTATGTGTACCTTACACTACGGCTCAGACCCATCGGCCAGGATACTTCATTGGTGTGCAAGTATTTTGACCCACATAGTATGCCGTAGTAGGAAAGATGGCGACCATGTTGTTGGTTAGCCGTCCTGCAAGTGTCCTTTCAAAGATTTCGAGTGAATAACATATTAACAGTAGATAGTACATATGTAGAGCAATGTGTTAGGGCATTATATACCAATTTTAACACCTGTGCACTCCGAGCACTGTCTTAACGTTACATTTAGACCATACAATCGGGTTGAGTGAGCTTGCTAACTGACTCGTCTAATCACCTGTTAGCAAAGGCATTAGCTAAGCTAATTGGTAGCTCACAGTACTATTTGAAACATATTTTAGTGTGATTAGCGTTGGTTACCAAAATATGTAGATGTTCGCATCACTGTGTGGAATAATAAATATAGGACAAATCGCAGTGCTTTTGCAATTATCCTTTCCAGTGAGTGGGATAACGTTACTGTAGCATGACGTATGTGAAACAGTCGACCACACACTCAAAGCACTTTGTTTTTATAAACAAATGAACGTCACAAGAAGCTGTTAGTATTAGTCGTTTAACTAATGGATTTGTTGTTTTACACTGGCCAGCGCTGTAAAGTGTTGACAATAATATGCATCAGCGTTATTATCGTATACTAGACTAAAATTAACACGAAAACCTTTGATTGTCAAACATTTTTCGTAAACCGAAATAAAAATAATTTACCTGAAGAAAATGTAAGTTTAAAACTATACGAAAGTAACAGTGGGTGCTAAAAACTGAAATAAAACAAGAAACGACACAAAATGATTGTCGTTATCGTTTCATTCAAGAGGGTGGATGTTCCAAATTACTGTACAGGCATTAGATGGCGATATAGAGCGAGGACCCACACTTAGACCAGGTAATATTATTATTACTCACCAGTTTGTACTGTGTAGAGAGTTAATAAGACACAGTGTAATCAAAGCAATAAATATAAGGTTGCACAAATACAGTATTGCCAGACCATACCCCAACAGTGCAGCGCTCAGTGTGACATTGTCAGCATTAACAATCCAATTTAAGAGAGGAGGTGTTGTTTCAGCTGGTTAGCCACAGTGAAGGCTGAATTGTATGGCATTAAACATTTCAGTATAATGCCCTACCATTAAACAGCACCAAAAGCCTCTCTAAAGCAGTTAGAGCCAAAGGAAAAGGAGGCCGCTCTTCTTCCAGTGGAATAGCAGCCACAGTGTTTGGCGCCACAGGTTTCCTGGGTCGATATGTTGTCAATAGGCTGGGTGAGTTAAAAATATATATATGTAAAGACTAAATACTGATCCTGTGCACCTACTAATATTTACTTTATATTCAGTAAACATGTTTTCTTCATGAGCTGGAGCCCTTAAGACATTAATATCCAATATTCCAGATGACATATCATCTCAGCTAACAAAAACCTAATTGTAATGTTACAAGGAATGCTGGCAGCTTATCGAATGAAACCTACCTATACTCAAAGTTGTCTGAATGCTGGCAGCCTGTATTAGCCTGGATTTGTGGAATGTGGTTATTACTTCAGTTTATCTATATGTTGTATTTTAACTTTTTTATATACAGATGTGATTGATCTGTTTGGGACAGTATATGGATCCATTAGTACTCTGTCAGCTTGATGTAGCCTTGATGAAAGTTAATATTTTAATGAATTATTGCTATCGACAAAGTTAGATGTTTACCCCCAACAATGGTCCTCCTTTGCAGGTCGGATTGGGTCGCAGGTTATAATCCCTCACCGCTGTGATCAGTATGACCTTATGTACTTCAGGCCCATGGGCGATCTTGGACAAATCCTTTTCCTGGTAAGATCGAGACTCAAGTGTACCTTACAGGAATGTTTCAGAGCTTATAAACAGAGGAATTATTCATCTACATGCATTTAGAGCCTTAAATGAAATTGTTGCAGGAGTGGGATCCCAGGAATAAAGACTCCACCAAACAGGCTTTGGAGCACTCAAATGTCGTCATCAACCTGGTGGGCAGAGAGTTTGAGACGAGGTATAATTAGAGCCTGGAATAACATCTTAAAGCATTTGATTACTTCATCTGAGAGTCATAATATAGCAGAGTTTAAATTTTAAGCGGCCTGCCTAGGTATAGGCAGATGTTGGGAGGATTTGGTGAATTTTACTGTGACTAGTAGGTGAGCATTTACACACAAGTATTTTCCCATGTGTTGTTTAAAGGAACTATAGCTTTGAGGATGTCTTCGTGACCATCCCTCAGCAGATTGCTAAGGCAGCCAGAGAGGCTGGCATCACAAAATTCATCCATATGTCTCACCTCAACGCTGACATACGCAGCCCGTCAAAGTACCTGAGGAACAAGGTAGTGAGCTGTTTTCTCCACATACTGTATATCTCTCCCAGTCAGTCAATCTAGTGTATTGATGTTTTTACTGAGGTGTGTACACATTAAAGCCAATGTTGCCTACATTAAAGTATAAAGAAGGTTAATATATAAATGTAGTTGGTCATTGTATGTAATACTCCTTTACTATAGGCTGTAGGAGAGACAGTAGTGAGAGACGAATTTCCTGATGCCATCATCATGAAGCCCTCTGAAATATTTGGGAGGGAGGACAGATTCTTCAACTATTACGCAAGTAAGACCAGGGTGCCAGTTTGAGAATGGGAAGACTTGGTGTCCCATCAGTAATTCTTAATGACCGACTGGGTCGTGCATCCACACTTTAGCTCAGCAGCCTCTCTCTTATCACCCTCCCACAGCAACTTCCCACATAATGACAGATGAGGCTGTGTAATTCAATCCCTCAGTAAGATGTTGTTTGTACATGACTGAAGGCATGAAAGCTGTCACAGGCAGAGTAGTTTTCCAACATCTCTTTCACTGTGAAAGACATATGTGATACACAGGGTTATCTTTGTGAATGTTGTTGAATGTCAGTAATTGTAGTTTGGTTACCATGCCAACTTCATTTGTGCTGCATATTAAGTTCATTGTCATCTATTCATCAACTTCTACAAGCAGAACTATTTCTGATTTTCTTTTGATTTAAAGAAGTCAGTGTCTTGCTCAAGAACACTTCATCGGGGTTGATGCCGCTTTAATGCCTAAGTGTTGAAAAGTTTCCCTTTGGTGCTAATAGTTAGCCAGCTATCCAGTGACAGAGTCATGTGTGGCTTTAATCCTCCTTCAGACATGCGCTGGTTTGGCAGTGCTGTTCCACTTATTGCCCTGGGGAAGAAAACTGTGAAGCAGCCTGTTCATGTAAGTGTGTTGAAAATAAGCAGTTACTAATATGTTTTGCCTCTGTAATAAATGTAAACTTTCAGACATCATTGCTTAAATGTTATGGATGGTGACCAGTAATAAAACAAGTCTGTCATTTTGTGTAGTTGTTTTACAATTAAGCGAATTGCTTAGCTGTATAATTATCAGTAGACTGATTTTTAAGCTAAACCACAGGACTGATTCATTGTTGGGCGTCTCATGGAAACCTCTGTTGGTAATTGATGAAAGGATTGTTGCACCATAAAGAGTGCAAATACTTTTTGGCCACATGCCAGCATAAAGTTCTATTTGTTAGTCCTAAAACTTATCTGCTTACATCAAATTCATAGTTTCCTTTTAGAACACTATTACATGTACTCTTGCTATTGAAGGCAGTCTTACAAAAACTGCTGTGAAATCACAGTGCACTTTGAAGCAAACAGTCAAACTTGGGTTTCCAGTATTTACATTCATATATAACATTTTGCCCAAGTGTAAAGGAAACACATGCCACACAGAATCCATCACCTTGTTACACTAAGAGGAACCTGTCCAAAAAAACCAACTGACATGTTTCTTGTCACCCACAGGTGGTGGATATAGCCAAGGCTATTATTAATGCTGTCAGAGATCCTGATGCTAATGGAAAGACCTATGCATTAGTTGGGTATGTGGTCAGCACTAAAAGAAAAATAAAACTGTTCCTACAGCTTCAGCAGATACTAAAATCTGATAACACTTTGGAAACTAAAGGCACAAATAATTTATAAGAAAAATTTAATTTTGTGACAAATTACCACAGCCTATACTGAGAGACATTCTACTTGAATGATGGTTATCTTCCAGAAACACAGTACTTGACTAGCAGTCAGGAAAGTTTGTGTAAAGTTTAAAAAAAAAAACATATTCAGGGCTTGAAAGGCTTTACACAGTGCAATAGAAAAATGGAAAAGATCAAGCAGGAAGTTGCCTTTATTTATCAGTTTGATGCAGGTTTACCTTGTTTGCAAGCACTGCTTGTTTATTAGACTCTAAGGTGGGGTGGTTCTCAGGTTATATTTTCACATAATTAATTTGTCATTTTGGATTTACTAATAAACTAATAAAGGACTCTCACTGTTGTGTATGAAATACTTGTGTGGACATATTGGTTCTGGGTTTCTGACCTAGCATATGAGCACAGATTTACATTGTGAGGACTTCAACAGTTTTTGTTGTGTCTTTTGTTGTTGTCTAGTCCCAACCGGTACCTCCTTCATGATCTTGTGGAGTACATCTACGCAGTGGCACACAGACCTTTTGTGCCCTACCCACTGCCTCGTCCATTGTACCAGTGAGTTATATTTGTCGGTACTTTCCAGAAACTGTTGTCTGCTATGTGATTAAATCAAACTGAAGGTGTGTTGCTGAACAAAAGCATTTTTGAAAGGCTGCTATGCATGTATGATAAAAGAGGTCATACGTTGGTTTGGGCAGTGTTTCAAGTTGCTTCTCATAGACCCTAAATCCCATTGCACTGAATTATTCAAGACATCATTGTGACTAGGGTATAGTTTTTAAATACCACTGTTCATTTAGGTGATAGCTTCTGTTTCTTCTTTTCAGCCTTGTTGCTCATCTTTTTTCAATGAACCCATTTGAGCCCTGGACATCCCCAGATAAAATCGACCGGGTAAGAACATCAAGATTTTGGAATAACTATAAACTTGAAGGAGTGAGAATAATGCCACCAATTGTAAAGGCTCTATCACCAGTACTCTTTATGCCTATTACACTTAGAGCAGCTCTAACTAACTTTTGCCCTCCAACTTTCGACAGACTTGGCAAATTAAGAAGAGTCCAAATTAAAACCAGAATAATTCATTACAAAGGTATAAAATTGAAATGTTAACGTTAGCTTGCTAGTGATACAGACATATACACATTAGCCACCTCCAGTAATTATGCATCTAGCAGGAAGAAAGCCACATCTGCATCAAATTGTAGTCTTTTGGATGTTTTTAATGCTCTCTATCTCCAACCCGGCAAACTGATGTTAACCCTGGTTTTGCCTCATTCTTTGTCACACTCACTCTGTGCTACAGAACATGACCTCTTGGGTCTAACAAATCCGCTCCCATCCTGGGTTGGACCTGCAAAGGGAGCCTCCATGGTCTGTCTTTGAAATGAGCCATACTGATCTGACAATGCCTCTTATAACCTCAGATCAGCAGAGGTGTGGAAAAAGTGTGATGCAGATTTTAACAACAGTGGCCACAGAGGGCAAGAAATAAACA